GTGGAGGAAACTTACATACTTTATTTTTGCTATAATGACTTATAACTCACAAATACTTTTTCTGCACAGAAATATAACTTTAGGTTTAGATTAGCTTTAGCGAAACATCTGAGTTTAGATTTAAAGAGAAAACTTGTTATAAGTCTGATTTTTTTTCCTCTCTATGCATGTTTTGTGACTATATATGTATAACTATATATGTATCACTCTGTCACAATTTTCTTGTGTTTCTCAGGGCCTAATGCCATTCAACACCTGTTCCTGTCATGCTGTTAACACAAGTGTCCAGCCAACTACAGATTTTTTCTTGCGTCTTATGTCACTACCACTAAAAGATCAAAGGGCTGCCAGCACAATTATGCAATTAATCTGTTTGCTAGACAGGACACCTGAAGAACAAAAGAAAATGTTATATATGACTCATATATACATATCCATAAGACAAAGTCATTTGCACTGATCAACTACTTTTCTGTTTTTGAGGGACACATTTCACACACAATAGCATTTCACTATAAAGGATATTCAAATGCTTCCCAAACCATCTTTGAGTGGATTTTCCTTTGTCCACTTGTTTGAATGCATGTAGTTTTTTGTTTTTTTGTTTTTTTTCCCCCCAGTGGAATTAAAGTTAATTTAGATAATGCTTCTTCTAACCCTGATTCCCCAGATAGGTATCTGCAGGCATTATGAGATAGTGGTGAGATTATAAAATATGTCTAAACAGACAGCAGACCATAAAGTGATGATACAGTCTCTGGTACTTAAATGGTGTTCTGCTGCCCCCAAATGGCAAACAAATTAAAAATAAAATCCTAACAAATCTGCAATGTGGCTTTTCCCCAGCCATGATTTCAATTACTGCTAATCAGTGTTAACCTGTGTAAAGTTTAGCTGGACTTGAGTCACACAATAGCCAGCAAAGTAAAAACAACAGTAGTGTGGAGTGAGGGAATGCAGCAGATGAGTCAAACTGAGTCTCCTTCACATTGGAACTTTCTTCTATGTAAAACTGTAACTTTAAGTTTTTGGTAAATGATTGTTATCGAGCTGAGAAGGAAAAAGTAAACGTTACCCAACCGTCCATCCATTTTCTACTGCTTGGGGGGTTGGGCCGTGGTGGCAGCACCCTGAGTGGAGCCCAGAACTCCCTCTCCTCAGCCACTTCCTCCAGCTCATCCGGGTGAGCCTGCTCATCTGCCCAACCCTGTACTGAGGCCTTTGTTAATGTGTTTGAAGAAAACTGATTGTTCTCTTCTCAGAGTGTCCCCTTTATATTACTTGTAGTATCTTTTTTGGATGAGCATGTGATGCTTTTTTCTTTGTGTTTCTGCAGCTCTTTTCCATCTTCGCATTTGCAACATGTGGCGGTTATACTGGGCAGCTGCAGGTTAGCGTGGACTGCATGGAGAAGGCCAGCAGCAACCTCAGCATTGGCATTGACTTTGGTTATCCTTTCAGGTGATTGGCCTTCATGTGTCTGACAGCCTGCTGACATTTTGGGATCTAAGAGCTTTATATGAAATGTATGAACTGCTGACAGTGAAAGTTAATTGTTCATTGCTTTTGTACTTGACCCGTGCATGCGTGCGTGTGTGCACCAGGTTGCACCAGGTGTCCTTTGAAGCACCCATGTGTGAAGCCATGAGGAGGGAGCGTGTTTTCCTGACCGGAGACTATTCATCCTCTGCTGAGTTCTTTGTCACCATTGCAGTCTTCGCCTTCCTTTATTCCCTCACGGCTGCCATTATCTACATCTTCTTTTTAAACAAGTACCACGAAAACAGCCGAGCACCACTCATTGTGAGTACAGTCGATGAAACACTTTCTCAGTCCTTATTAGGTAGTTTATCAAGAGTACGTTATGCACATAGTCTGACCCTCTATTCTTCCAGGTTGACGTCTTCCATTGACTCACAAACTAACTATTCACTCATTTAAAGTAAGCATTTAAAGTAATGCTATAGTTTTATTGCGCTGAATTCTCATGGATATGATCGCTCTCGTTTCTTCCAGGATTTTGTAGTGACAGTAGTGTTCTCCTTCTTGTGGCTGGTCAGTTCCTCCGCTTGGGCCAAGGCCCTGTCCGATGTCAAAGTGGCCACCGATCCAGATGAGGTGCAGCTCCTCATCTCTGCCTGCAAAGACCAGACCAACAAATGTGGATCTTTGCATGGACCTCGCTGGTCTGGACTCAACACCTCAGTGGTAGGTACAAAAGATGTGGAAATGCATGAAAAGATCAACTAGAAAAGCTCAGTTTTCTGAACATGTTTAAACTGATGTGTGGAACCTGAAATAGCTGAACAGTGTGAACGACTGATGTTATGGTAGTGTATGGGAGATGTAACCAGTGAAAAAGGCAGAAATTGTGGTTCAAGCTGAATGAATATGTGGGGGCAGTTATGCCAAGATTATTTGAATGTTTTGATGTTTATTGTAAATTTGTTTCTTTCACTGTCTCTTCAGGTTTTTGGGTTTCTCAACTTTGTTCTATGGGCTGGAAATATCTGGTTTGTCTTCAAGGAGACCGGCTGGCACAAGGGTGCTTCAAGATTTGCAGCCGGGGCGTCTGAGAAGCAGGGCGGCACATTTAGCCAGCAGTCATACAACCAGGGAAGTTTTGACCAGTCAGGGAGCTACAACACCCAGGGCAATATGGGTCAGCCATCTGAGTATAGCCAGGTGGGAGGGCCCACTTCCTACCCCAGTCAAATGTAATTGTCTCTTTTCATTTTGCAAGTAGCACCTCAGCGTCTTTAAGCAGGGCAATCAGGCGTGATAGAAGAAGACGGAAGTGAAGTTTGTCTGTGCAGAATGCAAAACGGTGGTCATAAAACCAATGTCGGTGTGTCCAAGTACACTCATTGTAGATACAAGTGTTGTTGGGTAAAGTTATTAGATATAGTCTTTTACTCCTTCTCTTTCAGAGGTGTTGTTTGCTGAATGCTGTATTTCTTGTAGTCTGAAACACATTAGTAACAGTTTCTCTCTCTCTCTGTGCTCAGTAATTGACATACAATGTTTTGATTGGATGTCTTTTCCAAAGTGGTTTGCATTCTGTCGTGGAAGGAAAAAGTACTCCGTGTTTGTATACTCCAAAGTTTCCAAGTGCATGATGTTTTATGTGTTCTAATACGCTTTCTGTGAAACAAAGGGGGGTGGGGGAGACATGCATTTTATCTCTGAAAGTTTACACCCTGACTGATTACTAGACGTTCATCAGTTAAGTATTACTACAAGTGTAATTTCTTTTTAATCTAATAAGAAATATATTTTGATAATGGGAATTCACATATCAATTCAGAATAAATTCAGTGATTTGTCTGTGACACAAACGCATTCCAGCTTCATTCTAACACTGGCTACTGACGATGTCAAAAAGTCTTCAAAAACTAAGGCAATAACTTCATTCTGCAAAACATACAGGGAATGTGCAAGAAAACCAAATTGTATATGCAACCATTGCAGCATGTAGTTTCTGTTCCCTTCATTTTCATTTCTTCTGCACAGGCAGCATCACATTGGCATTTTATTTGTAAAGAGGGAGTTTGTCTCCCCTTATTGTTTGCAAGTGGCTGCTCCTGCTACAAATGCCTGGGACTGCTTCCTATGCCATCGTCAGACTGATGAGTAATTCCATATCCAAGTTCCACCTCTCTAAAGCATGACCAGAGCATCCACACACACTAATAAAGCCCAGCAAAAAAGCTATAGTGACAACAGAAGACTAGTGAATATTAGATTCATCTGTATATAACGGCTACTGAGCTTTAGTTCACTTTAAAAATCACAGTTCCTTTCTGCACCACAGAGGTGTGACTGTGTGTATGGTAAAGTCAAAATCAAAGGATAATGCGTGGTTGCTGTTTGTTTACATTAATGAGACTTGTGCAACCCTGTTCTTTGAACTTCTAAGCATGTGGCTTGCATCAGTGTAATAAACTGAACATCCATGCACTGTATAATAATCTGGCATCCTTGATGACTGTGTACAGGTCAGGAATTCAGGAATTCATCCTAATAAAAATGTATAAATTTGTCCATAAACGACTTCTTCATCTGTTCTGATATCTTGATTTGATCTGTAACCTCTGACCCTTTTCCTTGATTTCCCAAGAACAAAGCAAGGACACACGGCTGTCTTTCTGTTTGACATAAGAAACGCAAACTGAGACACAAATGTATGTGGTGTCTCTGCGTGTAGGTTTTGGAGTGTAACAGTTCATCTTTTACCGTACCTTATTCACTTTCTGAACTACACTATAGAAAATAAAGCAAAGAGCAATAAACACATACATGGATTTCATCATACCACTCTGAAATTCCTAGAAATTGATTTCTGAATGTTTTGGTGTCTTCATAATGTTTACTTAAAAAAATGTGTATTTAAATAGTTTTATGTACAGTAATAGTAATAACAGTAATGTGTCCTCATGATTTAGTGTGTTTTCCTTTGTAGCACTCAGTGGCCTAAAGTCCAAATCTTAAAATCCAAATGAATACAGAATTTTAACACCATAGTCTATGTCTCAGGAATTTGCGCATCAATAATAAAATGAATTGTCTCAACAGTATTTTGAAATGTAAGCCTGTGCATTTTTAAAGGTCTCTCTCTCTAAAAGGTCACCCACACCCCTCCAAATGATGCAGGAGTTTCCACGAAGACCAGGAACATATTAAAATTAAAATTAAAACCACAGTAGTTTGTTTGAACTCTTGCTTTTCTTCACAAGTTATACTCCTAATTCAAGATTTGCAGTATTTGTTTTCTTATTTGTGTGTCTAATATAGTCTGTGTCATATAAAAACACACTTTACTTTGCTTTTTCTTCCGACTAAGTAATTTTAATTACATGTAAAAAAACGGGGCTTTTGCAGTTATCTGCGCTAACATGGCTACAAGTCAGGTGCGAGCATGTGGTGCAGAAAACATCGCGTGTGACCAGCAGAGGGAGATATCCCAACAGCTTAACGCTTGTCGCTGACACCGACGAGGAAGCCAATGTCTGGAGCTGATCAGTGAAACCTCCACCGGATCAGACCAGACATGGGCACACTGCACCACCTAAATGCGCTCATCACCGAGCGGCTCACCGCGGCGGCGGTGGAGATTTTCGGGGCTGTGGAGAAAACCTTAATAGACTACCAGGGAGAGATCAGCCGATCCAAGCAGGAGATAAATCAGCTGCGATCACTGCTCTCCTGGCCTGAAGTCAGGCTACACAGATCAGGTGTGTAAATGTAATACTCATTACTTTATGTTAAAGGCTGCAGCTGTTTCACCTCTAGACTTTTGTCGTACCATTCAGCAGATCATCTTTTGAGTGCCCGCAGTGATGAAGAGGCTCCTCCTGAGGGCTCACATGTGAGCCCAAAGCCCCAGAGCATCCTGCACATTAAAGAGGAGCATGATCAAAGGGATGCTCAGCAAGGAGCCTCCTGTAGGCAGCAGAGTGATGCCACAGTGTCACCTGAGGTTGTGACAAGAGGAGATCACGAGGATCCACCCTTGCACCTATACACTGTATTAACTGTTGAGCAGGCAGCAGCTATCAAAGCTGAGCCACACGGAGATGAGTGTTTAACATCTACCTGCGGAATAAACGCGGAGTCAGAAGTTCAACAACTTAACCCAGAAGGTGAGGAGAGGACTGAGTAAAAGCACATTCAGCAAAAGCTGGCATCAGTTATTTTGTTCTTATATCAGTCCGAGTGCTGGAATGAGAAAAATAGTGTGTTTTTCATTGCATGAGCTGGAGATGCTTCCCATAATGAGCAGGTTTGTTTACATTCATGAGCTAATACCTGTCTGAGTGACCAAATCTCAAGTGTATCACTGCAGTAAACGACAGATTTCCTTTACATTCATGTTGTGTTTCAATGTTAAACAGAAAGGTGAAAGGAAATGTCAAACGCAGCCGTCTCTCATGTTCAAATATACTGATAACCGTGGTACTAATTAGATATAAATAATTAAAAATGATGGCAATTTATTATTAATATTTTAATATAATATTTTATAATAATAATATAATATTTTTTTAGATCCACTGGAGATCACTTATTCTAAGAATCATGGGACTCAACAAGACCAGAGCCAGTATCAGCACCGCTACAACCGTCATACATCCAAGATCATAAAAGTGCAGGCGTTTACATCATCTAAACCTCAGGAAGAGGCGGACTGTGACTGTACACTACCTCATCAGCCGGTAGATGATTATAATGAGGCTCCTTCTCTAACCCTGAGCCCTAAATGCAGTCTGAGCAACAATGCATTTACTACAGAAAACAGGACAGATGTTGAAGGCTGTACACTGTCTGGAAAGTTTCAGTCTGTCCACTCTGTAGAGCCAGAGCAGCTTGTTGGTCAGAGTGAGCATACTAAAAACATAGAGGGTGTGGGGATTAAGCTGCTCAAACCATCGGGAACAAGACAACAGAAAAGACAAATCTCTGAGTTGAACTCCAAGGATGGAGACAGTATGGAAGAAGATGGAAATCATTTCATAAGGGAGAGAAGGCACACATGCCCCATTTGTGCTAAGCGTTTTAAAGAGTCGAGTCATTTGAAAGATCACGTGAGGATCCACACAGGAGAGAAGCCTTACCGCTGTAAGGAATGCGGCGTGAACTTCAGGCAGAGCGGAGCCCTGACGTTACACATGAGAATCCACACAGGAGAGCGACCGTACCAGTGCACAGAGTGCGGCAGGCGCTTCAATCGTAAAGGTGACATGGAGACTCACAGGGTGACGCACACAGGGGAGAGGCCTCATTCGTGCTTGTTTTGTGGGAAAACCTTTCAAAGGAAGAGCCAATTAAACACACATCTGAAGATCCATGAAGAGGACAGAACCGATTACACTCACCCACTGTGACTGTTCACAGGAGACAGAAGTGACATGTCTAAAACCCTTTATTTTAATTGCAACTGATGTTACAACTGTGCAAATGCAAACCAGAAATTCTTTAGTGAAGACAAATTTAATAAAGAAAGGTGCTGTAACGCAAACTGTAGAGTTAAAGGACATGAACACAATGTCTCAGTTTTAATAGGTAGTTGTCAAAACAAAACTAGCATGTACATTAAAGGGCAAGACAATAAAAAAATGAATTCATTCAGCTGACAAACATTTTCTACTAGACAATTTTTGTGTCTCCAAAGTAAATAAATTGTCATTTTTTTGAATATTTTCATTGTGTCTGTTTTTTAAATGAAAACATAAGCATTACATGACAACAGGGGTCTCGAACTCCAGTCTCTGAAACCATGTGTGCCTGTTGCAACACACCTGAATATAATTAGTAGGTCATTAGCAAGAGTATAGAACTTGACTGCATGCTGAGGTGGCAATTCAGCCATTTGATTCATATTACAGCAGCTCGTGAGTGAATGAACATGGTGCAATAAAGTACTGTTGGAAGTACATTTTTCCAAAAACTTGCATTTACTTAAATTTGCTTGAGTACTGTTAGCGGTTGCCACTTTAGCATGTGTAGCATTGTGTAGGTGTCAAAGAAGAGGAATCTGTTGAGAAATTCATGTCAACTATCACAGATGTTTTTTATTATATTTTTAATAAGACGCTATTACACTCCTTGAAAGTTGTTAAATGTGAACAGACTTTTCCTTTATTTTTTGTGGAATACTACAGCAGATATAGATGAAACTTGGCTCAGAGGGACAGTAGGTGGCCCAGAGGAGGAATGTGTTGAAAGTTTGATGTCAACTATCAAGTATGATTTTTAATGAATTTTTGAATATGATGCAACCAGGCTGTCCCAATGCATTGTGTGCGCGCGTGTAAGTGTGCTCGGGTCTGCGATCGGTAAAGAAGGAGAAAAGGCGCTGCCGTACAGGCTAGTGTAGAAGCGCAAGAAATGTTATGCGGCGGCTAAGAGGCGGCTGAACTTTGGAAGTCGTTGGTGTAGAGTTTTCAAAGTACTTGTAGAAAAAGCTCCTGGAAGCGCTCACACGTGAAAGTCACATTCGATTGTTGGCTTCTGCTTTTATACCTGCCGCTCAACACGTCATCCTCATCACCTTGACTCCCAGTGTCACCCAAGCAAAGTGGAGTGATAAACATGTCGGCTTTATTTATTCAGAATAAGTTTCCCGTAAAAATTGTTTCTCATTTAGTTTCACAGTTTCGATTCAAACGTTTTTTGTTTTTGTTTTTAAACCGTATTGTTGTAATATTTTATATATATATTTGTATTTTTAATCATTAATTCATCACTTTATAAACAAGAAGTATCAATAACTGAAAATCGTAACGAAAACTCATCACGTTAATTAAGTCTGATTATTTCTTTCGTTAAAACGAATTGCGTTAGTCGATCACTTTTTAAAAAATATTTAAAGAAAATATCATCTCCATGCAGAAAACGAATTAAAAAAGAATATATACAATAAAGTTGCCGTACTGTAAAATATTGTCGCAGCATTTAACTGCACCTTTGATAAAGACGTTTCGCCCTTTTTCCGTTGTAGTTCAGAGTGAAATTTAGCTGCATGTGTTACAAACGCTTGTGTATAGTGATTTATGCGCAACTTTTGAGGATTCTGACCACACCTTAAACTATTTTACAAACGCGAATTTCAAACTTCGCGGTCCTAGCCTGTTTGGTGCCACTCCCTCTGGAGGGTGGTTAGGGTGGTGTCTGAGAGGCAGATGTTGTCCAAGATAAGGACAATCATGGATAATACCCCCCACCCACTCCATGACCTACTAGCCACAGGAGCACGTTCAGTGAGAGACTGAGATGACCAAAAAAACCACCACTGAACAACACAGGAAATCTGTGGCTTGTGGCCATCTCCCTGGACAACTCCTCCATCTAATGCACTGTAAACATTGCAATAGTTACACCCTACTCTGTAATATTCTTGTCAATTTTCTTGATATTTATTTATAATCGCCTCTGTTAATCCTTGATATTTATAACTGAGTGATCTGTATATATTAGTGCTATTTCTTAAATGTGTAAAATCTGTAACATAATGTATTGTTTGGAGTTTAGTCTGTTACTGTTGCTATTTTTACAATTTCTTCTTGGAGCAACTGTAACCCACATAATTTCCTTAGGGATTAATAAAGTATTCTGATTCTGATTGTTTCAGGATGACCTGCCATTATCCAATGACACGTCCGCTTATCTGTATATTTTTCTTGTTTCTCATCCTCTTGTTTTCTCCTTTTTCTAAACTGAGCACCTGATGGCTTTGAACTTTTCTTGTCCATCTTCCATTGGTTTTAATTTTGCGCTCCAGTATGAACACCCATCCCCCAACCCGAGGATCACCACAAGATAACCTAATAGACCTACACCTTAGTTCACAGATATGCTTTGTCTAAGGTTTATTTCTGGGATTTCAAACAAACCAGGATTCAAATCATGAATACATAATAATACATAATGGGCTTGGATTTACAACATTATGAATGAAATGCTCTATTTGGCAGCAGCCGGCCCCTGCCCTGTCGACAGGTTGTGTGTGAGACTTTAAATCATCAAACTGTAAATTATAAATTTTAAATTGTTATTGATCCCTTTACCCCGAGTCCTAAAGTGTATATTTATTTTCTTACTCTTCTTATATTTATTGTTTGTTTACTTGCACTGCTGTAACTGGAGCCTCGTCGTCTCGTCTCTCTATATACTGGACTGTATGTAGCGGAGATGACAATAAAGTTTACTTTGACTTCAGCAAGCAGTCGCAACGAGGGCTCTCGCGCTCACTTTTCGCGTAGAATTTCGAAAAAACATCGGTGCAAATTATGAGTCTGTATCATAATGTCTGGTGTTTTCGTGTTTGTTGTTTTGTTTTTATTTTGTTTTATTTTGCGAGCTGGTTATTAGATGCTGCTCCAGCCAGCCAGTGAATCCCCCGCCGCCCCACCCTCTCCTCCCTGTACCGCAAGCAGCAGGCACACCTCGCAAATGGAGGGCGCCCTTACTAAATGGCCGATAGAAAACCAATTGGTTTCTATTGGTTTGCCATCCCTAAAATGCGCTGGCAGGATGTCGGGGCAGCATAAGTATGAGCACCTTTTTTGCCGATGCCCATGATGCCGCCCTGGGCAACCGTGTAAAAACCGCTACTGGTTACGATTTTACAATAACCTATAAAGGTTAGTATTTAAACTAAATAAGATGCTGCGTTTATTGAAAATTTCTCTCAGCAAACGTTGTAAAGTAAAATGAAAGCCAAATAAAACGGGCAAATTAAAGTAACTGTACAGCGTCTTTTATCCAGTAGGCCTATAGCATCATAAAATCAGACAGATGTGACATTAACCAAAAACACCTAAATGTACCAGAATAACGGGAATAATTTATTCGATTAAATTGCCTGTATTTTTATAGCGCTGTACTTAATCCTTATGGTATGGAGGACCACAAGAGCCACGCATCGAAATAAAGAATTCTGTGCTAAAATAATGAATTGTAGAATAAATTCTGCATTTGTAAATTCATTTTTGAATTCCAATTTAATAAACTGCATTTCAAAATCCATTTTGTTTTTCCTGTTTGCGCTGGGATTAGCTGCTGGATTACCTTTTCAATTAACAACTTCTTTGCGGCTATTCAAATTAGCCAAACCATGGGATGGTGTGTGCTTGTATAATGTGTCAGAGTTGCGCAGTTTTCTGGGCATGGTGAATCAAGTGGGCAAGTTCATCCCCCATTTAGCTGAAAAAGACAAAGCCCTGCGAGATCTTCTTTCCAAAAAGAACGCATGGTATTGGGGAACTGACCAAGTGAGAGCTTTCAAAACATTACGAGATGCCCTGACCTTTTGCAAGGTGTTCTTTTGCAGCTGTGGGAAGAAGGATGGCGACCAGTGGCGTCGAGGTCCCTTTCTCCTACAGAACAACGATACGCACAAGTGGAAAAAGAGGCACTGGCATCTACATGGGCGTGTGAGCGTTTTCGTGATTTCCTGATTGGTAAACATTTTTGTCTTGAAACGAACCACAAACCTCTTGTTTCCTTACTGGGAGGACAAGCTCTGGATCTCTTGCCACCCAGGATCCAGCGATTCAGAATGAGACTCATGCGTTACTCGTACACTGTGCAGTACGCCCCAGGGGAATCGCTCTGGACAGCAGATACTTTGTCCCGCTCACCTCTGAAAAAAACCAATGAACCTGTCAGACAAAGAGCTAATGGAAAACACAGACATATATGTGGACAGTATTGTAGCAAACATGCCTGTCAGTTCATCATATATGCAAACACTGAAGGAGCAACTGAAAAGCGACAGTGTGTGTGCTCGCGTCATGGACATGTGCACCGAAGGCTGGCCAGAACATCCAAAACAAGAGCCTTTACTGCGAAATTACTGGCCTGACCGAGTCACACTCACTGTTGAAGACGGCCTTTTGTTAAAAGACACACGGCTTGTCATTCCTTCAGCAATGAGAAACGAGGTTCTGGAAAAACTACACGAAGGACACCAAGGTGTTGTAAAATGTAAAGCTCGTGCACGCCAAACAGTGTGGTGGCCCGGGTTGAGTCAACAAATCTCTGAGATGGTGCTCAAGTGCAAAACGTGTATTCAAGAAAGACACAATAACAGTGAGCCACTCATGCCAACAGAATACCCTGCCCGCCCATGGCAGAGAGTGGGCACAGATCTTTTCGAGCTGGGAGGGAAAACTTACCTTCTCGCTCTTGACTATCACTCTAGATTTGTTGAGATTGCTTTGTTAAACAGGACAAAATCAAACGACGTCATTACTCACCTGAAATCTTTCTTTGCCCGTCATGGCATCCCAGAGGTCCTCATGTCTGATAATGGGCCACAGTATTC